ATGCGAACCGCAGTTGACTATGTGGGAGTCCAGCGACATAGCCATTACGCTAACTGCTGGTTCCCTTGTTTTTGTTTTGTTTTTTTGTTTGTTTGTTTGTTTGTTTGTTTGTTTGTTTTTGACCAGAGAGAGAGAGAAAGTGAGAGAGAGAACAAACTGCCAGTTCTAGAACTTGAACCATAGTCAGCCATGTGGAGTCCAGTGCCCCAACTACCATGCAACCTGACAGCCCCTAAAATAATTATTTTTTAAAAAAGAAGAGAAAGAAAATTTAGACTTTTAGGGCCAGCCCCATATTGCAGTAGTTTAGAGAACTGGATTCCACATGGCTGATTGTGGTTCAAGTCCCAGCCCCACCAACTTGAAAAACATGCTGGATACATGTGCATTCATGCCCCAAATCCCAACAGGATGGAGAAATGCAGGAGAAAGCACTGCGATGTGTGACCACAACCCCCTCTCACTCTCCGTCTCTCTCTTGTAAGTGCATGCATCCTCCAGCAATTTAAAAAAAAAGTTACTTATACAAGACTTAATTTTTTTCTATTAGATTGATATTTTACAGATAAAAAAGGTAAGTGGGTTCCTCTTCTGGCTCTGCACTAAAGTGTTTTCATAATGAAATTTGTCTTTAAAAATGGGATTTCTGGGGGCCAGCAGGTGGCGTAGTGGTTAAGGCGCTGGGCACTCCCACATGACTGACCATGGTTTAAGTCCTAGACTTGGTGGCTTGCTTTCTCTCTCTCGCTCTCTCTCTCTCTCTCTCTCTCTCTGTCTCTCTGGTCAAATTAAAATAAATGAATAAATGAATGAATAAATTAAATTAAGTAATTCTTTAATAAAACAGATTTCTAGAAGCAAGACATACATACAAGGACAAACATTGTAGGACTCCATTTATATGAGGTACCTAGAGTAATCTAATTCACAGTAATAGAAAATAGAATGGTAGTTGCCAGAGCTTGGGGCAGGGGGTATGGGAATTGTTGTCTAATGGGTACAGAGTTTCTATTTGGGAAGACAGAACACTGTTTGTTTGTATGTTTGTTTTTGAAGAGAGAATTTTGCTGTAGGGTGGGTGTGCCACCAGAGAGACACAAAAACAGAAAGCAAGAACCTCCCCTAAGGAGGATGGTCATGCCACAGTCCTTTCTCCTCCAGTCTCCTCTGGGGATTTTGGACTTGCATTCACATGCACCTGGTGTGAGTTTGAAGCTGTAGGGCCCAGGACTTGAACCCTAGTCAACTACTTGAGAGTCTAGCCATGTGACCATTACACCATCTGCTGGTCCTTAGAAAGTTCTTTTCTTTTTGGAGAGGTTTTCGCTATAGGGCGCATGCACTCGCCAGACAGAGAGAGGTAGAGAGACAGAAAGCGAGAAATCACCCCCCAGGGGGGATGGCTACGCCACAATCCTTTCTCCTCCATTCTCTTCTCAGGATCTTGGGCACGCACACACATGCGCCCAGCGTGAGTTTTAAGCCACCAGCTGCGGGTCGCCAACCGCAGTCGGCTACGTGCGAGTCCAGCGACATAGCCATTACGCCAACTGCTGGTCCCCCTTATCGAAAGTTCTTGAGATAGCAGTTATGGATGCACAAGAATATAAATACCATTGAACTGTACACACAGAAATGGTTAAAATGAAAAATTTCATACTATGTATATTTTATACCCCCCACTCCTAACACACACACACACACACACACACACACACACAGGGATTTCTATGACATAACCAGTGTGAGCAACCCGCCTGCACTTTCCTCCAGAGACCTTCAAAATGCAGCAGTTCTCTCTTCAGACAATCACATTCTGTCTTCAGAACACAAACTAAGGGTCAGTCACAGTTCCAGATCCATGAAGACAGAAAAAGTGTTGCTTAGCGAAAAATGTCTGTCAGAGAGTACTGTCATAATGAGGGCCATGTTTTCATTACATGCAGAAGCTGGGCTACACACCTCGTGTTCTTATTTTAGTAATCCAAAACACTGAAAGGCGGGCATTTTCATTATTTTACAGATGAAGAAACTGAAGTTCAGATGAGTAACTTGCTCAAGGACACATTACTGATATATGGCGAATCCTTGGTTGAAAATCAGATCCGTGCAGCTCCAAAATCCGCACTTTTACCCAATACTAGTCTGCCTGTTTGGGAAATACACTGAAAGCAGCCCAGGCAGGGATTGGGGCAAGGGCTGTGTACAGAGGCTGGGGGCTTTTATAACTATCTAAGCTTATTGGATAAGTCGGCACTTCTTTTAAGAGAGGCCTTAGATCAGGAAGGTTGCGTGGGGCAAGATCTGAATAATTCCAGGCATCAGAACCCAGCCAGCGCAATGCCTCGAAATAAAACGTACAACTCTGGAACGGCAGCCCCGGATGAACTGACGCCATGCGTTACAATGAACCTTCACTCGATGTCATCGGAGCCCACCCAATCCAGAACTTTGCTCGCACCAGCGCCCAGCTTGCCTCTGCCCCCGGGGCTTCCAGACTGCAGGCCTCAGTCGCTCCAGCCTCAAGGACTGCCTGAGCGAAGTGAATCAGGTCTCACGAACCCTCTGTGGTATTCTGGGGTCAGACCAGACTAAGGGTCGGTCACTGCGGATACAAAACGCTGGGCACCCCCGCCCCTCCTCACCTGCCGCAAACGCCGGGCCAGCAGCTGGC